CTATAGTAGTTTTCTTAATATAATATATAAGTATCATATTGAACAGATAAAACAAGAATTATTTTAATTATATAATATTTAATATGTAAGAAATGTAACTCAATTGGTAAACTAATAGGTAATCTTGGGATAAAATAATGAGTGACTTCTGAAAAAAAAATATAGGAACTAAAAAGTTCACGTTTTTAAAATATTTTTAATAGAAAAATTGGAAACACAATTACTCAATGAATACTACATAAAAAATATAAGAAATCTTATATCCTCCCTATATGTAATTAAAAAACATAACTTTTCTCAATTCAACATAAGCAAATCAATGAAAATAATATATTTTTAAAATTTTATGAACAAAAGTTGACTCGACAATATTATTAATGAATTTATGAATTGTAAATATTTAATTAAAGTACTAATAAGAAACGTAATTAAATATAATATAATATATGATATACAAATATTTGATATATAATGAGCCAGATGATCGAAAAAATTCTATTCTTTATATTATGTCTTTTTTGACAAATCTACAATTAAGAACATGTGAAAGAATAAGATAAAGTTTTAAAAAAATATTAAATATAAGAAATAATATGAATAATAACTAAGTTGTGACACGTACTAATAAATATAAAACAAACTAATAAACAAAAATAATATAATTAATATGACTAAATATAAACCTTCTAAAAATATACTTATCGATGTAATCGAACTGAATTGTTAAACGCTTGTTAGTTTTTTGTTCTTATTAATTTTATGTGTAAATTTGAGGTGATAGACAATAGTTATTTGTACATTTATACATGTAGATTAGAAAAAAAAATCTTTATTATTCTAATTTTAAATAACTTATTTATTTACTATAATAGTTTTCTTAATATAATATATAAGTATGATATTGAACAGTAATTATATAATATTTAATATGTAAGAAATGTAACTCAATTGGTAAATTAATAGGTAATTTTGAGATAAAATAATGAGTGATTTCTGAAAAAAAAATTATAGGAACTAAAATGTTCACGTGTTTAAGAAACCAAAAGTCAAGATTTTTCTAAATACAACATAAGAAAATCGTTATATTTGTTGTAATTTTTGTTGGAATTTTCTCAGTTTCTTGTAGTAAAACTAAGACTCCAAATCTAAAAAAAAATGCGTTATATACATAATATTGTGTGCAACTATTATTATGAAAATTTTTGATACGATAGAAAATATAACACATACAATGTAATTGGCGTTCAATTTATGATAAGAATTAATTTTTTTCAAAGCAAACAAGATACTTTGAAAGGTCCTTAATTATTTTATTAGTATTGTAATAACTAAATAAGGGGTAAGAAAGATGACAAAACTTATAATTCTCATTAAATCCAAAAGTAAAAATGCTGATAAAATTACTTAATGTACAATATCAATTGGAGCTGGCTAATGATAGATATAAA